TGCCCCGGCATAATAATAATCATTGGTTTTAAGTAGACTTCAAAACTTTGGGCGGAACCGCTTCCATGGTCACCGTGTGTTTGTGTAATCCGACACTGAATGTATGAAATATTAGGTTGTGGGAATCGTTTTAGGAGGACTGGGAGGAAGCTCCGCTCATATATGCATCATATACCATCAGTGATAATCGGAGGGCGAAGAAGCAGATATCCGAGATGTCGAGTTTGGTAAAGCCGAGAGTTGATAAGTATTTCGCCGAAGCCGGATATTTAAATCCCCGATTGTTTAAGATAATTGGATGGTGAAAAATGTCGCGTGTCTTGGGGAATTGTGCGCTTATATACTTCGAGATCATTGATGCGTTATTTCCGGAGCCAAATTTGTCGACCTTCAGCTGGTGCGTACGCGCCATGCGGTCGGCGTCACAAATTCCGACATCCATGACGTGCACCGATGATACCTTTACTGCGATTATATCTGGCTTGATGAATGAGGTCGCTGTTGGAATTCTTGGTTCGAGAACGATGTTCACTGTTCGTTTGCGGAGTTTTTTGGCGACTTGCTCTGCAATGACATTGTGGCGTTTACATCGTGCTTCATGATTGATGCCACATGATTGTAGGACATGGGACAGAGTCTCCTTTTGTCCACAGTTGCCGCGACATAGTAGCTCGGATTGGGTCTCAGGCGGTCGTCCTCTTGCGCGTCGTACTTTTGTAGACAGTAACCCACCTCGAAGCTGTATTGCTCGAAAGAACAGTCCAGGGAATATCCTAGTCGGATTCCGCAGCCAGTGATGTGCAGCGGGTGTGGTGACCACTCCCTGGAGCGGGCACCCGTCTGCTGAGGTAAGTAGCGCGTCTTTCCATGCCTCCGCGGTTGATACTTTATCCATCACCACTCGGTTGCCGATGGTAACATTGGAGCGCGCCAGTCGATGAATGGAGCCAGCTGCGGGATCTCGGATGGCCCAGCTAGTAATTGGGTGTGCATTATTAAGATGTCGTTCTAATCGGTCCTTCCGTAACAGTGGAATAGTGGCGGATAAGCAGGGTATACCGATACCAAAGTCCCCGATTGAGGCGTGGAAATAAGCCAGATTTGTGTCAGTGGGCAACCGGAGCCATTTTCTCACATGTGCTCGAACAAGCCTGTCCATGCGTTTTAGCGTCTGTTTGTGGACAACGGCCAAGCAGAGTTTATGAAGATGCCTTGGAAGCAGGAACGTCTTCAGAAGCTCCAAGCGCTGGTAGGGTTTTAAGGGCGCTTTTGTAATTTCTTCCAGTTGAGCACGTAACTCGCCTGCGGAAGCTGGCGGGAGTTTACCTTTCCAACTGAAAGGCAAGCCTAACATCGTGAATTTCTCTTCTGGTTGCAAGGAAGGAATAATGCAATCTCCACAGTCTAAAGGGGCGGTGTCCAGTATCGTTAGTTTTCTTGAACGGTCCGCTACAATGTTGACGGAGGTTGACTTCATCTGGTTGATGGACAATCCCATGAGGGCCAGTTTATCACTGAAATGTCGCAAGCGCTCCTGCAGCGAAAACCGGTCCTGAGCAAATATCAGGACGTCATCCGCGTAGGCGAGATAATCAATTGGCCCTACTGGGGATGTCCAGGGTTCAGAGGGTAAATCTTGCAGAGCTTCGTCCAGCGTCATGATAAATAGTAAGGGAGAGAGTGGGTCTCCCTGTCTAACACCTCGTTCCGGATGGAGGTGAACATTGTTGAAAGTGGAAGTAGCTGAGGAGTAGTAGGAAGCAAGGTAATCCAGTAGCAGAGGGGGTGCGCCAAAAGCAGAGGCTGCGCGTAGTAAGGACTGATGAGAAAGAGAATCAAAGGCTTTGGAAATATCAATTGAAGCAAAGGAAAGTGGAGAGTATGAAGAATGCGCGTGTCGCAGTGCGGCGTGCATTATCGCAGGTGCTTCAAAGCATCCATCCTTACGTAGGAAGCCAAATTGTAGACGATTTGAAGGAAAAGTGGGAACCCAGCGGTCAAATAGGATTCGATGAAGCAGACGCGTAAAGACGGAAGTGACAGAAATAGGCCGAAATAACTCAGGAGAAGAGGGTGCATCTGCCTTGGGAACAAAAGTGATACGTGCTGTATTCATGTGTGAAGAGAAGGGCGAAGAAGCGAGGAGAGCGTTGAGAAACGCAGTTACAAAAACGGGGTCCATCCTCAATACATCCCGTGGTGTGACACGGTCAACCCCCGGTGCTGAGCCTTGCATCTGACGAATCGCTGCGCGCACCTCCTCTTGGGTGATGGGTCTCACCAAATCTGGGTTAGTGGGGAGGATATTGCGAGGTGGACGGTCGTCATGTACTGGAGGCTGAGAAATGACTTTTGTCCAGAAGTCCGTAAAACCAGGGATACGGTCGTCTTCTTGCAGGAAAGCCGTTCGCCATCTGCCATCAATAACGGTTGCTGCTGCATCTTTACGCCTCGTATGATAGAGACGTTGGATGTGGCCACATTGTAGGCGTCGGCGTTGCTGTTTGTTCTTAATGACTGGCCGTAACTTTTTGCGTTTCGTCGGCGCCCATCTCCGAGGGAATAGGCTGGTACATGCGGCATTAAGCTCTCTACTATAGTGTTCCCGCGAGATGTCGTCTGGTAGGGAAAGCAGCATGTTGAGAAGCAGGGAATTTGGTTCGTTATTGGCAGCTTTGCACCCACGCGCCAATCGTTGAGCCTCCGCGAGCAGAAGGCGGAATGGGGCTGTGTCATCGACCATCTGTGTGGTAGAATGCGAAACTGAGACTGCGGAAAGGGAGGGAGGATTGATCAAGTCAGCAGGAGCACTGAGAGGCAAAAGTGTGGACGTTGGCCGCGGCTCCGATTGGGAGTTTTGTCTATCGTCCGCGTTTAAGGGTGAATCCTTTCGCCTCAAAACAACGTCCTCCAGAGTGCTTTGTGATGCATCCAAGTCCACGGGAAGTAGACAGAACCCAGTCAGGATGGTGGGGTTGGCTTTCTGTATTGTGGATGAAGCAACTGTTGCAGCGGAAGTATTATTGTATGTATTACGTCGAGCAATCTTGTTCGTCGGTGGGGGGATGCTAGCAGCATGAAGGTCTTCGGTTGCCACATTCCGGGTAAGTTGTATTAGTGAGTCATCTGATGTCAAGCATAACGAGTTCGATGGTGTACACTGGCGTCGCTGCAGCGGTGAAAGGGAGGACGGTTGGATAAGTATCGGAGTGAGCGAAACCCGAGACTCTACACACTGCGCACGCCAATCAGCACAGTGCCAACCGATGCGCTGCAGGCGTTTCCGTATGCCCTCCTTCGTCCGCCATGGGAATGCCGTCTGTAATTTGTGAAGTAAAGTAACTAGTTTAGGGCAGGATCTAGCAAGGCTTGAGGCCGCTTTACTTAGCTGTCTATCTTCCCTGGCCGACCAAGTAAAGGATTGTGCAGGAAGTCGTGCTAGAGAGTTTGCATTGTATTGGACGGAATGTCGATGTCGTCGGTGTTGTGATGGGCCTCTTTGCGAAGCAAAGGAACGCCGGCAGGTATGACAGTTGAAATCGTGGAAATTGGCTGCGGCTGCAGAAGCCAGAAAGGCTGTTGGATTCCATCGGTGGGCGGCGAGATGTCTCAGGAGACCACTGCGTGTCTTAAAGGTCCGAGGGCATAAATCGCAACTTATAAGTTGTGTTACGGTGGGGTGGGTGGCAAAGGGTTCGCGGGAAAAGAAACAGGATTTTACGACTTCATTGCCTGGTAAATAGGCAGTTGTGAGGAGGGACAAGGAGGAGTGACAAATGGAAGTGCTGTCACGATGCGTGTGGGGGACGGTGACATAGGGGAGCGGTTCCGCAGGCTGGATTCGGATGCAGCAGAGGCTGATCCGTTTGCAACGTTGGTATAGTATCCAGCAGTTCCGCTGGACCGATGGTTCGAGCCAGGGGAAATAGGGGGACTGGCCGAAGCTTGCGCCGCGGGCCGTTCATAGGCGGGCCGTTCATCTATGTACCCAGTCCATACCATGTGTGCAGCGGAAGGCTATACCTTGCAGAATGTATTGCGGCAGCGTGACATTGAGGTAATAGTTCAACATGACTTAAGGTGCTCAAAGTAACACGTAAATTTGTGGAGAAACGAGAAAGGATGCTTCGGTTCCTTGTGGTGGTCACTTGAGCTATGCGACCCTTCTACCTTCCGGCAACGGCTCAAAGCTTGCGTGAGACGCCATGTGGAAACACAGTCCCGATGTACCCGAGGCAACATAGTAATTTGCAACTAATACTGTTTAATCTTGGTTCACCTTTCATTACAGCTTGCTCTGAAAACTGCTTGTTGAACATTGAATGTTAACATCGCCTATGTTAAAACTCATGTTAACCTATCAGCCACTGGATATCGCTTGCCACCTTTCTCGCTGCTTTCTGGAATCTAGCCCTAACATCATCTTAGGAGACTTCCAGCCGAAGCTTGCTGCAAAATACGACCATCAGAAATGTCGCCAAAAATGTTTTCCTCCTGAGATCTTAGCCGTTGGGCACTTCTATGACTTGCCATTTATGCTCGTACGACTCAAGCAATTAAACGTCGACCCGGTAATGCATGGTCAGTCAAAGATTTACTGCTTTTCTACAGGAGTAAATGCAAGGTACTCTCCATAGACACCAGTTCAACTAGTCATACAGACTCAGGGAGCATGTCCTGCAGCAATCGTCCGGCGAACGTGATCTGGCAATGTTGGTTCAATATGACTTAGGTTGCTCCACCCAATCAGATAAGGCCTAGAGAGTTGGAAACCAACACGTCGAGCTGTTGCGACCAACGTTCGGACAAACTGAAATCCCTATATTTTGAAAGGTCCTCACTGCTCATGTTTGCCCCTCCAAGTCAAATACGCCATTCAAGGCTCGCATCCATGACTGAAACACGATTTTAGTGCAAGAGAGTAGCTGCAACATCGGGCATCCAAATACGTTAGTAGAATGCACAATCTCACATACGAGCAGAGGATAAAACGATTGGCAGTATGCAGCAGTATGCAGACGATATCGCAGATTACGAGGCAATCTGATGATGGCCTAATTGATTCTTTACTACCCACATCATGTATGATACCCCTCACTGTAACAGAGCAGAAATAAAAGCGTGAGAGGTCACTCACTAAAACTCGCATAACAGCATACCCGTTGGGAGTGCCGCAGAAGTTACTTTTTCATTCGTGTATGTTACCTGTGGAATGCTCTACCTGAACCAGGCATCTCTGTACCGACACTAACAATATTTAAAATTCGGTTGCATGACGAACTCATCCATTTATAATTTGTTAATTAGTACTGTCTCCATCCTTCTCCTGGAATGTACCTTGGATTTAATTACTGTTACTTGTGGGTGCTGTGAAACTACGCAAGTCGCAAGACTGCAGCGAAACAAACAATTATTCCCACTTTTCATACTTAAAGTATTAACCGTTTTCTTATTCAATTTTTGATTACCCCAGCAAACTACCCAATGGGACTTGTAAAGCAGTGTTTGCTTACCCGTATAACTTCATTGTTCATTTGTATCAATTGACCCGTGTTAACTGGGTGACAGCGCGTCACAAACAAAATCTGTGCTCGTCAGTAGTTCGTGAAATCGGGGCAGGGGAAGTAAAAGTCAGGCTAATGTGTAGATCACGTTCGGAATCATCAACATTTCACATGAGGCGCTAAATTCATGTATTTTTCGTATTGTTGTCAGCTCTTCACATTAACTGCATGAGGTTATCGCCTTAGGAAAACGGGAAGCAATGTGCGCTCCATCCCGCATTTTCTAAGGGATTTTCAATCCATCTCATCTTTGCTCTCATTGAATCAATGCGCAGTTCATCCTGCATTTCTACGACGCTTGAATTCTCTGTAAATCATTCTTTGGCTTTCAACATTCTGTATTCCGATTCATGCTGCACGCCTATGCACTCTGGGAAAACTGAGCAGTTCCACGAATGTGACTCTTATGACTCAGGGATGACCCGAATGTCTAGTACTAGGACAAAGTTTGAAAGCTGTTTCTGATCTAACATATACTTTCAGACAAACCTCACACTGTGACCTCTGTCTACGTGATCCGTACAATTAGCTCGGGTTTCTTCGGTTAGTTGGATTACATAAGGTGCTTCTGTGAGAACCCGTTGTTATTCCTAATTCGGGGACATATTTTCACCTTGTCAATCCGTGACGCTGATGTAGTATGGATACTTGCAATATCGTAAGTCGAATTTAGATAGTTTTACTCATCAACAGCATTGTGCTATTGGGATCTCGAGTGTCGACAAGTTAATGCCAGTATTTCCAGAAAATTATTCATAGAAGGCAGCGTCTGAACCCGTGCCACCATAACTTGTCCCTAATAAACTCTACCGGAAAATTCTGTCTCAGTGGAGCACCTTTCTTTCATCGAATTCACAGTTAAACAGTTTCACTTCAACTGACGTAATAGCAATGTCCTGCATCCCAATCATTTTCAGATTTCTTTGTAATTCATTATATACATGGACACTGGAATTTTGGTCCCGTGTTCA